GCGACTGGGGGCGAAAGGAAAGGACTGGGGAAGGGAGCAAATCCAACAGAGGCGACGGTCTGGATGGTGACTCCGTTGCTTTTTGCTCAGCTCAGCTGACTTCTCCAGGTGATTCATCGGGACCTCAAGCTGCTTGGCGATGAAGGGAAGGGGCTCAGCACCGGCAGAGCGCTGCAAGTCATAAAAGCCATGGAAGAAATCGACTCCATTGAGTCGTTCATCCCCTTCTTCCACTCCTTCGTCCGAGTTGCTGCGACCCGTCGGACGCACGATGCGCGCAGCTCGTCCAGTACTTTGGTACGATCCAAACAGTGTGCATTCTGATGAGGAAGGGAATTGTACCAAATGAGGCCCCGGAATCTTCTGGTCAATGGCAACTGCCTGGAGCTCAGCATCCAGTCGGCCTGCAGAATAGGGCCCGAGCCCACCGAAGCAAAGGCAATGGATGTAGTGGACGAGAGCTGAATCTTGGCACAGTTCTCCCTGGTAGATCATAGCAGGTAACTGATGGGTAACTGATGTCTTTGTTGGTCCACATCAGCTCAGTCTGCAGGATACTTCGCTCACCAAGATCCAAAGTCAGGTCTGCCTGAAGAGACGAAGCCTTTGTTCACACTCTACCCATCTCTACCCAATGATCTGCTGGAACAAGTGAGCAAAGATCTGCTTGGACAAACCTTGTGGGAACGTGTACGCACTTCCCCAACTGGCCCTGGTACGTCTCGTCTAGATACAGGGAGTTCGACTGAAGTAACACCTGCCCGATACCCACCAGTCCGGCACCCCGCACCAGCACCGGCCCCCGGCCGATTCACCGCGAAGGCGACCTGAAGATCTGCGACTTTGGCTTGGCTCGCGTGAGCTTCTCGAAGGACCCCACCAGTGGGTCTGGGTGGACGCGATCGAGATCGGTTTTGTTTTATGATGTTCTTTTTTTGGGGGTCACCCCCGGCCAGTGGGTCGGAGATGGAAGAGGGACGCGATGTTGTGTTGTCTCAGTTTTGCGGAAAGTTCGAGAGATTCGAGCTCATTTCTATATGCGGAGTGCTCTCCTTAATTATGTCATTCTGGATTAGGTGGGACCAGGGGACCAGGATGACGAAGCATGAAGCTACACAGCACATCTGCAAGCAATCCAGCCAGGTCAAGCACTGGTGGCCTCAAGGAATTTGCAGCCATGAAGGGCCACACTGGGTAAAGCTGGAAGGTCAATCTGGTGCTGTAGAGAGTCTACTGCCCACAGCGACCATGGCCGTTGAGGAGTTCCAGACCTGCCCCATGACGGAGTACGTGGGAGGGCCTGGCGACTGTACGTAAGTTGTGCAGGACACTTGACCACAGCAGCCACTGGGTAGCTGTTGTTTTGGATCTAAGAAATGGGGTTGGCCCACGTTTGTCCGGGATCTTGATACTAACTATACTATGGCACAAGACATAAAACAACGACAGCCTGACCATGGCTGCTTGATGCGTTTGTGAGTGGTAGATCGAACCGTGGGATCCGCGCGAGCGACGGCAGTTTGTTTGGTGCATGCACTCTTTCATCAGAAAGCTCATCAAAGCCAGCCCAACAGGGTCTTAGAAGAAGGGATATATCATTTTTCGGTTTTCTCAATCTTTCACTGGCATCCCCCGACAACAATCCCACGCTGCCCAGGTGTGCACGCGGTGGTATCGTGCTCCCGAGGCCGCTGAGGATGCGTGAGCGGCGGCTTTGAGGATCCGTTTTGGTTGGTTTGAGTCAAGGTGAAAAACGGCGGCACAGTGGGCTTTCAGCAGATTCTTGAAAAAACATCACCCACAAAAGGGGTGGTGAAAATGTAGACACCTCGAGCTTGCGGTGATTATTCAACATGGAGTGTTGCGTGGATTCCCACAAGTTCCAACACGTTGGCCTTGCGAGCCAGTCTAACACTTGCAATTCTAGGTGAAGTGCTAAGGCTAGCGTTGTTTCTTTTCCTTCACTTCTGATGACCTGGGCACCATGCCCACATGGCGTCCGTACTCGTGGAAAAAGAATTTCTTTTCCTTCACTTCAAGCTACCCTCGCTCGCCCTGCATGTTGGAACAAGAGTAAAGGAGGGTGAAGATTTGCAATGACGTTTTTTTTTAGTGAGACACTAGCTGCTGACAATGAACATGATCCGTCCAAAATCCTTTGACCCTCCAAACAAAATGACCCGATCTCTACGTTTCTTTCTTTCTTTTTCGATTTGGATTCCTGGGCGAGGTCTTGTGCTCCTGGGTGGACTACACCACGGCCATCGACATTTGGTCCATCGGGTGCATCTTTGCAGAGGCCGCGTTCGGCGGGCGAGCGAGTCGGTCTCCGGTCCTTCCGGAGCGTCCAAAGATGGGCGAGAGATCGCTCCATTCATTGAACCTCTTTCCCACACAAACCTGGCCGTTGCCAGCAACCCACCTGGCCGTGGCCCCGCCCCATCGCTTCGCTGGAAACCGACGGCTTCGACGGTGAACGCTGGCAGATGCTGGAGCGAAAGCCGCTCTTTCCGGGACACAACACGCAGCACCAGTTGCAGGCAATGGAGACTGCCGGGATGCTGGGATGGTACCGTTGGAGGAAGAAAGACCTCAAGAAGATTCAAGAAGAGGTTTTTCATCCCAGAAAAGAAGCGTCAATATGGCGGGGGGGAGATAATATTTATCCTTTTTTGAGGCGGGGCAAGATCTTTTGGAGCATCAACCATAGATGGTTCCTTTCGGAGGAGTGCCGATCAAGACTATAAGTTATAGTGCTGCAAGACGAGTTGTTTTTGTTCAATCCCCACCTGAATGGCGGTCATATCTACATGAATGGCGAGTATCTTTACAAAAGCGGGTCAACTTCTCCGCAGATCGCGGAAAAAAGACACACCTGGCACCGCTGCCCAGTCGATCATCAACTTTGTGGGCAAGCCTTCACCGGAGGAGACCGACCACGCTGGGGGGGAGGATGTGGGCGCTGGAGGGTGCCCAGGTCGTAGGGCCCGAGTTGACCTGAGCAGAACATCCGATTTCGCATCCGGGTCAACCAGTTTGGACTTGGAGGTATTTTTCCATGGGGCTTGGGCTCGGGGATTGTGGTTCGGATTTCTTTCTTTTTTTACTCCAAACCAACCAGGTCGCAACATGTCGCTTCAAAGCCGCCCCCCTGGACCAGAACGGGATGGTTTTTGCGAGGAGCTCAACAAGATCAAGAATGAGAAGTGCAGGCCTTTGGTTTCTAGCGTTGCCGGCCTGGCTCTTTCTGACTAGTGGCCCAAGTTTGAAATCAGACATCGAGAGGAGAGGCGCAGTGCCGTCTGAATGGGATCAATGGGATCAATGGGATTCAGTTAAAGGAGTCTCCACAGGTTTCTTTCTCATCATGTGATCCAGTGTTTGGGCCCTTCACGTTACACTCGGCTTCACTTTGTGAAAAGCCCTCGACTCTCGACGGGTTCCGAACCCGTGTTTCCTGGGGCCAAACATGCCCCATGGACAGACCATCGACGCAGAGGTTCGTATCTCCACGACATGAACGGACCGCGACCGCGACGACTGCGAGGCGATTCATTGAATCTCTGCCTCCTGCACCCGCCCGCGACCCAGCGTCCTGCTGTTGCGCAAAGCATTTGGTGCGTTTCGCAACTTGCGTGCGTGCTGTTTCCTGCTGTTTCGTGCGTTTTGAGGGTTCTCTCACAAGTTGGAGGGTTCGTGATATGTTCAAGTTCATTTGAGGATCCAGGATCTGAGGCATTCTGGATTGAACTACGGTCCTGGTCACGGGCGACTCGACCACATTCGAAGCCACACTTCTATTTGATCTATATTTTGGGACGGACCTGGGACAACAATCTCTCACGCTTCACTGGTTCAGTGTCAATCTTCTGTCTGCATGTCCTTGAACTTCAACCTCCTGAGAGTTGTTGTATTCAGATCCTGAGTGCCAGCAGCTAGCAGCACTTCAGATGCCCTGCCATTCGGTGGGCACGTGGTGTGCCGAAAAGCAATCACCGAGGGCTTGAACTTGGAGGATGCCTTCCCTGAGGTTGGGACCCAGTGGGGAAGGACGGGGGGCCAGGCTGGCGCACCTGTTCAACCAGGGAGCAAGATGCGGCCGCCTGCGGCCCACATGCTTGGTTCGAAAACAGCTACGGTTGGCTACAGGCTCAACATGATCTAAAACATCTACAAAAAGGAACCACGTCTGGAGGAAGCATGCGCTTCCCACTTCCGACACTTCCCACAGTCGTTCCTTTCCGCTTTCATGGCCGAACCACTTACTGTATGCTCTTTGTTTCCATTCCTCCTCTTCTCTGTCCCACTCGCTCCGCTCTCCGTCCCAAGTCTCGGAGGTCGCACCCAGTGCGTTGGAGTTCTTGAGCGCCACCTTGCGCTTCGACCCGGAGCAGAGAGTCTCCGTCCCAGAGGCGCGCGCGTGCGGGGTGTAGGAAAGGATCGGCGGTGGCTGGAACTCACGGCAGTCTATGTTTCTTCCAGGCAGTCGACTGCCTGGTGACGCTGGTGAGCTTTGTTTTGTGTTCGTACGCTGGTGCCCCATGCCCGACCATTCGCCGAGCACGAGAACGGTTGAACACGCGCCAGGCGCTCACACTCTCCTATGTCTCACAACTCTATTGTCCAGAGGCGCAAGAAGCTCTCTCATTTTCATGTCGCTTTATCCACATATAGTTGTGGGTTGGTTTATCATGGTTCATCTAGCCTAGCCTGAGAACATCTGTTTTGCTTTGTTTTTCTCAAGAGTCCACATTGGTCTTTCGAACCTTTGCGTAAACCACGCCTGCTACTGCGCAACTCGCTTGGTGTTGGTTTGTGGGCAAACCCGTCCGTGTGCGTCCGCGCGGTGCGCGTCCGAGGATGAGCCGGTGCGGGGGCCTCTGGACACCTCCGACTTCGAGTTCGAGCGACGGAAGATCAACATCCGCGCGCTCCGGGAGGTCCGGACCGCGATTTCGCGGCGGGCGGGGCGCGTGTTTGAAAGCGGGCGGGCTGACCGGTGACCGTCTGACCGGGTTGGCCGGCACCGAGAAAAAGGAGCTCAACTGCTGACTGTAGGAGGAAAAGGTTCATCCATTGTCCACTTTGATGGTTCTCAGTGGTGTAAATCCTGCCAGTCTGAACACCAGGCTAGGGGGGCTTTCCTGGGATGCCTGAGTCCGGACGAACGTCGCCAGGAGCTCTGGCTCGAAGTGCTGCCGGGAGCTCGGTGCTCCTGGGCGAGCTTTTGGTCGAGCTTTTGGAGCTCCAAATGGTAGATAGATTCTTTATTTTTTTGGCATTATCCAAGCCTGTGGCTTGGATTGAGTTTGCCTTTCACCAAGCAACATTTACCCTTCCTCCAATGATCCAACCACACAACAGCCACCAAAAGCAAGAATTTGCGTGCTCCCAAGATCTTAGCGAGCTTCCAGAAGGCTTGGTGAAGCAAATGCTTACCCTTAGGGTTTCTTTTTGAGATCGGAGCGGAGCGTTCCGCTCGGCTTTTCCCGTGCTTTTTCCGCTCTTCGAGGTGTGTGTACATGTCTTCCTTTGGTTGATGGTTGCGACCTGGTGCAGATCTTTTCACTTGGCTGTGTCATGAGGCAATACTATCCTGAGAAGTGCGGGAGCTCAGGGGCAGAACTCCAACTGGCTGCGTCCTCTTCCAACATCCACACTGTTTCAGTGATGGGGAGAAACCAGAAACCAAATCACCTTGGATAGCTTTCCTTTTGCTAAGGTGATCTGTTGCCATGGCCATGGTGTTCACACATTTGTGGGAAGTCACCCGATGGAGGACGCAGAAGACCATCATAGATTGTTACAAGGAACATCGTTGAGATGGGCATAGTGGTTGTTCTTGGAGTGCGAACCTGATCCTTCCTTCCTTCTGCTTCTGTATCAAAATGACCAATGCGTGATCCATGTTCGAGTGACTAGACTCTATATATAGGAGAAGTTGGACAGTCATCTCACGACATCCTCATTGACTCATTGTCGACACCATTTTTCGCGTTGGTCTTCCCAAGTGGTGCTTTTCCCATTCCTGCCACTGCTAGCCGCTCTTAGCACCCCCCCATCTCTTGTGCCCGACCACCGGACGCGGCCACGTAGAGCCTTTGGAATGCGCGGCCAAAGGCAAGCGATCTACTTGCAGCAACAGTCGCAGTCCTCTGAAAGGCACGAGTCCACTTTCGGTGGCCAAAGCGGCTTTTGTTGCAACGAATTGCGCACTTCACCAGGACTTCGGGTGTGGTTCTTGGAGGATCATTCGGGACATGCAGGGGGCTCCTTGGAGTGTTCAGCACTCCAACCACCCAAAACCGATTTGGACGATGTTTTAGAACGCTGAACGGCCAGATCCCGGCTGCGCCCGCAGGTACAATGTCTCCTCCTATCGTTTGCTACGCCCTGGCGAGTCGAGCGCACCCAGTCGCTGCAGTGCGTCGGACGAGTGAAGCAGCGCAGCGAACGGCGCGGGACGGAACGAACGGCGCGGGACGGAACGAACCGCTCGTTGCATGGAACGCGCTGCTTCGTTTGCGCTGTTTGTTGGGATGGGTGCCGGTTCCTCAGTTGCGAACAAAGACCTCGTCCCATGGTCATGACTGGTGTGCCATGCCATGACCTGGTTTCCTGGTGGCATCTCTGAGTCTTTTCGTAGCAAGAAGCTACTAGTAGTAAGGCACCTTGTTACTAGTAGCGCTAACAGTAGCAGTATTCAAAAAGGCCACAGCCAAGCCAGAAACCGTGTTTTTCCTTTTCTCGGACACGTTCCTTCCGTACCGCCTCTCTGCCAGCCTTAACCGCCTCTCGCTTGGTCTCTTCCGTACCCGAGACTTGAGGCCGCAGTACTCCTCGGACGAGGAGGACGTCACGAGTTCGGGGGGAAGATGGACCTTGAGCAAAGCCTGTTAGTTTAGTCTCACTAGTCTAGCCCAAACATATCGACTTGAAACCAGCCCTGAAAAAGACAGTCAGACCGCAAAAAGACATGGCACGCGTGGATCATCTGCGCAGCTCCATCCGGTGAAAAAAGCTCTCCTTCTTTTGGATCACCGCTCCACCACTCCTCCCACGCCCTTCGCATTTGGGGTGCCTTCCGCTTCGCATCATCTGGGCACCGGGAGGACGGAAAAGATCCGTGACGAGGTGCGGCACCTGAGCGCCTGGGAGGGGATGGAGGACGACTGGAAGAAGGACTGGAGAAGGACGACACTCGGAGTGCAAGCAAAACGCTTCACACCACTTACTTGCGGGTGATTCTTCATTGCTTTTTTCACCTCTCAGATGTGGGGTCCTCTCATGAGCTGCATCGGAGATCACGTATCCACTGTTTTTGTGCTTCAAAGTCGGAAGTCTCTTGACGAGTGCATGAACTCGTATACTGTCCTTGTACTCTGTGTAACAGTGGATCCACACCAGGAGAGCTGCAGAAATCCTACCACAATTTCCACCATGACTGGGTGATGGTGTTCTACCCTTCCAATGACTGGGTGCTTGCGACCCCATAAAGGACTATGCACAGAATTGGCCTTCGTCCCTTCCTTTCGGCCCAACCGGGTGCACCCCGTTTGAGCGGACCCGTGGAGAGCCGTCTGTAACCTCGTCGCGAGCTGTGGCGCCCGGGGTCGTCATGGCGGAAGCGGAGAAGCCGTCGGTGGAGAGCAGCTGCTGGCGGAAGGCGAGACCGAGGGTTGACCCTTGGAGTGGCGAGGTCTAACGGATTTGGGCGTCAGAATCTCGACTTTGTGGCGAGTCGCCTTCATTCTTTCAGGCGGCCTTTTGGCCGCCCCAGGACGACCGGGCGAAAGTGGGTTCTGCCATGAAGACGGCGCGGTCGAAAAGCGGGTTCCCGCATGGAACGATGCGCAGGTACTGGTCACGAGCTTGCGGCTGGTGGGGGTCCTGTTTGCACTCTATGCCTTTCTTTTTGGCTTGGACTTGATGGGAGTCGCCTTCAAGGTGAACGCTGTCGCGGGTGAGACGCTGTCGGTGTGGGCTGAGTGGTGGTTCGCAGTTACCTTTAGGGGAGGTGAAGGAGATGAGACGGATGACTTTTGAATGGCTGTGCACCAGGCAACCTTGACTCTCACAGATTCTCTGCAAGATCCTGGCGAAGCTTAGCGCTTCCTCGGATGGTGGTCGGGTTGATTCCAGTCTGTATGGTTGGTTATTGGCAGGGGTGCAGAGTGGATATTATTGCATGTTGATTGTTCTTTGATATTCTCAACCCGCAGCCGATGCATGTCAACACAATCACAAGCCATAATGAAAGAATTTCTTGTTCAGAGGGCAGAGCCAGAGGAGCCCAGAAATCAACCCCAGAGTGCTGCTTCGGTGCTGCTTCTAAACTGTGCCACGCTGCTTCCAGGCACTTGGTGGGAAGGGTGCAGGGATGCTCTTCAGCATTACGGATAATCCCATCGCAGGCGCGATCCTGGCGCGAGCTCCGATAGCCCCGTCTTGGCTCTGTGTTGGGGCAGCGGGTTTCATGCTCGGCTGGGTGTGTTATTTCAATAGGGAGACGTCCAAACCAATGGGATCTAAGTCTATCTCGATCCCTAGGATCGAACTGGGAGGTCTCCCTGTTTCAACACACACCCGCATCTAGAGTTGCTGCTGCTACATCGGTAGCTTTCTCTCTCTCGATCTCAGCACTGCTGCTACATCGGTCACAGACATCTCCCCGCACGGAGGGTTCCAATTGAACATTTGACCCTTTTCCAAGTCCAGTTCGACGATATTTTCACCGACTGGTTTCAGGACATTCCGACTGGTTTCAGTTGTCACCGTTCGTCAGAGCATTCTTTTTAGAGTCGACTGGACGAAGTGGTTCTTTGGCACCAGGGACCTGGACCAGTCATGCAGGGTGGTCGGGACGGTACCCTCTTTCGCCCTGTTTCGGTTTCCCACATGGGTGCGGGCGCATGGGTTCCTCTGCATGGCCGATCCGTCTTTTAAAGATCTGTGTTGAACAGTGTAATGCTATAGTCAGAGTCAGTATTTCCAACATACATACATACATACATACATACATACATGGCTCAAGGCTCAAGGCCATAAGTGTTCAAGGTCGTGCCCCTCACAAATCGACCTAGTGCGGTAAGCCCCAAGCGCTTCGAACATATCCCCCATCTTCCTGCACGGAGACCCTACATCCTTGGCTGCCACCTGGGCACTGGTCTTTGCTCGCTATAGAGGAAAAGCCAGAGGAGGTGATCAGGTTTCCCAGGAACTTTGTCACCGGCACCTCAACCTCCGGGATTTCGTGAATTTGATTGGGGCAACAGCACTGAACACTAGTACGGCCAGAACGTGCTCGGTGCCACCTTGTCTGCCCATTTGATCGACTACCAAGTCCACAACAGCGAGAGGGCGCCTCCTCCAGCACCTGCACTATGACGACTGGCACCCCCACTTCATGGAGCAGAGCTTATGTGGTGTGCCACAACTGCTCGAATTGGATTTGGCAAGACAAACTACGTCCCGACACCCGATGCCGCAAATGTGGCAACTGGTGGCCCTCAGCACGTGCAGGAATCGGCAAAGGCAAGGGTCAAGGCAGACCTCAACGAGCTCAAGACAGCTGGCGATCCAGCTCCAAAGATCTTCTTGACAGACCACCAGGGCTTCAAAAGCTCAAGCCGCTCAAGAAAACCATGCCCACACAGGCTGCCCATGAGATCTTAGCCAGCACCTGGGAAGCCATCCCAGCTGAAGCTCAGACCAAGCTCCAAACCCTGGGCTTTGGACCACCCCCGCAAGAGGAGCCAGGGCTTGAGGCCGTCTTGCAAACCCATCTCAAGGAACTTCCACAAGCAGTCCAGGATGTGGTCAACAAAATGCACCAGCCCATCCCGGACACCGAGAAAGCCCTGGCTCAGAAGCTAAAGACCCAGGTCACCGAGCTCAAAACCATCTCCATGAAGAAAGCACAGCTCCAAGGCCGACTAGATCAGGTCAAGAGCCAGTATGCCAGCATGCTTCAAGAGATGCAGGAACACCAGACCAAGCTCACAGAAGGACAACAAAAGCTCAAGACCTTGTCCGAGCAGTACATGCAGGCAGTCAACAAGACACCACCACCGACAGATCTTGAAGTGACAGATCCAGAGCTTCCCATCCCCATGGCAGTTGAAACTTTTGTCACCAGTTTGGGTATCAGCCTGACTGCTGAACAGCGCAGTCAACTCCACGGCCTACTCAAGCGGCCAGGAGGTGAGGTTGAGGACCCCAGCAAGCGCCGGAAAACTGATGCACCCAGTTTGCCAGCAGGAGGGGAGTGTGGGTAACAGGACACAACATGGCCACCAGGACTTCCCAGGTTTTGAGGTGTCCATACCATGGGAAGCAGTTGATTGGACACCATCACATGGGGATTGCCGCGCTGCCTCAAACTCAGCGCAAGGGGTCCAGCAGGTGACATGTGCAGGGGACAAGTCACATACACACCTGAACCTTTTTCAAGTACATCCAACTTTAGGGGACGACTCCACCAAGAGTGAAGGGGAAACCACTCTTGCAAGCATGGAGATCAATACTACAGACCCACACAGGTCTGACAATTTTGTAGCAGCACCTTCTCCGATCCTGACGCATGGGTTGCCGCTGGGTGCACCGGGGCCAGCAGTGGTCTCCATCCAAGGAGGACGAAAGCCCAGTAGTCAGGTGAAAACCACAGCCAAGCACAAGGGCAAGATGGAACCGGCTTATGCCACTACAACGGAAGTAATCCTTCAGAACCTCACGATGACGGTGGGCAACCCTAGCAGCAGATGCTATGCCAATGCCCCATGGAGAGCATTTGCCTGGACATGCGGCTTGCTCCAAGAGACAAACACCCAGCCATGGGGCAACCTCAAAGAGGCGGTCCAGGAGTCTTTAGAGATGGCGGAAGCTGTGGACATTCAGCAGCTTCCTGGCCTGAAACCTATGTGGAAGAAACACGACCTCAACATTGAGGGGGATGCCAACCACTTTGTCAACACGCTCTGGAATGTCTCCCAAACAAGAGCCTTCCACTACAGGTTTGCAGAGATCCAGCCAGGAGGATACCTTCTCGACCACATCCAGCAACCCATCCTGGTCCCTTTTCCAGATGACGGGCCAGAGGTCACCACTCTCCAAGACCTTTTCAACGGATGGGCGAACACTGGACTAGGGCAATACTTGATGGACGACAAGCCGGTATTGGTCAGCCACCTCACCAGAAACACTACGATCAATGGCACCCCCACAAAACACAGCAAGCTGGTGAATACCTATGGCAGCTTCACCGTTCCCAGATCCCTAGATGGCTTTGCCAGAGCATCCACGGAGTTTGTGCCCGCAGCACTGATTTGCCATCAAGGGAAGAGTCACAACACCGGACACTACTTCGCCATCCTCATCTATAGGGATTTGATGTGGATAGCTGACGATGGCAAACCGCCAATGCACTTAGAGCACTTGACACCACAGCTGGCCAGCCAAGTCACACAGGTGTGGGCTGTGCACATCGACGCCTTCAAGACTCCACAACAGGTCCTCCGATCGCTGCCACCACCTGCAGAGCCGGACTTCGACCCTCCACTACACCCCAGCCCGGAGAAGAAGGCCAGAGTGGAGCAACAGCACAACAATTTGCATTTTGCAAATGTGACACACTTTGGGAGACAGGTACTGGACTGGTACTGGTCACGACAAAGCGAGGTGTACGTGTTGGTTGAAACGCATCTAGATCCACAGCAGCATCAACAGACCTGCCAATATTTTACCATCAGAGGCAGAACGGCCTTTGGCACACCAGCCCACCCCAATGAAAGCAACACAGGCACACATGGCGGCATCCTGGTGTTGGCTGACCCTACGTGTGGGCTCACTCCTTTGGAATCCTACACGAACCAAGGCTGCGGCTTTCAAGCATTTCTATGGCAGGCAACAGAGTGCACCATCCTTGTGGCAGGCACCTACATGAAGACAGGTGAAACATTGCAAAGTGATGCCAATGCCACCATCCTCGCCCGCCTCTTGGCCCTGGTTCAGGCCACCAACCACCCCTTCGTTCTCTTGGGGGATTGGCAAAACAGCCCTGGCAGCATCACCAGCACGGTGTTGCCCTCCAAATTCCATTTTGAGGTCCTCTCGCCAGACGCCAGCCTCTTGTCCGGCAATGTCATTGACTATGCCCTGATCCATAACCAGCTGGCCAGCACCACTTCCATCACTACCGACTGGGCTGTACCTTGGAGGCCGCATGCACTCATCTCGTACCACTTCAACATTGAAGAAGCCACCAAAGAATACAGGCAAATCCAGTACTTCCCGCCGCTCCCGGCCACACCGGACATTGACTTCCGGCCTTGGACCACCTACAAATCCACTGCCTATGAGCTGGACCTGTATGGCAACCCAGTCAATGATACGGCACAAGCTTGGGCGGACTGGCTTTCTTGCACTGAACAATACCTATTACAAGAACACCCCTGGGCTGCACAAGGCAGAGGATCCAACCTCCGGGCAAGTCACAAGCCTCTTGCGCCCATCACCACCACCACCACGTGGAAAAGAGGCAGACCAGCCTACTGGGAACAACTACGGGCCAGGTTCCGGCTTGCACTCCAACAGCCTCCCCAGCAGGTCAGAGGACCCACCAAGGGCTTCATGCAAGCAACAGCTGATGCACCACACCACTGGGTTGGCACGCCGACATGGGGCCAGTTTCTCGACACCTGTCACCACTGGCACAAATACAAAGACAGTCATGCTGCC